ATCCCACACAAACACACATATTATATAGTCGTGTGACGTCCGTGACGCATTTCCGTATCATCTTTTTTTCATAGGATTTTTCCATTTACACCCCGTCCGAAAACAAGTTTCACTTCAATAGGCAAAGTCGTTCCTCGGCTGGGAATTGATCGCCCGTGTAGCAACTTTCTACCAATGATATACCGATGCTAGTTTGTTCAATAACAAATAAAAATGTTATTCGACATGCCAATCTTCTATACTTATAATAAATCTGTAGAGAGGTCAATTCTGTACATGAAATATATTTTCAAAATAACTATCAGGGGGTGATTAGTGATCGATACTGATGCCAAAAATGCAATCAGTAAAATTTTTGCCTGTCTGTCTGTCTGTGTGTATGTTCCTTATAGAAACAAAAACTACTCGACGGATTTTAACGAAACTTGGTACAATTATTCTTCATACTCCTGGGCAGGTTATAGTATACTTTTCATCACGCTACAATCAATAGGAGCAGAGTAGTGAAGGGAAATGCTGGGAAAACGGGAGAAGTTACTCCTTTTTTTAAGCTTCCGTCGCGTGTGCAACCTTAATGGTTAAAGTTACATAGAAATCATGTATGACGGAAATATTTAACATAAAATTGTCTAAAAAATATCCCGCAACAGCATATGTCTATCTTTTATGGTTGACTCACAATAACACGTGTAACTCCTGATAGCAGTTCGGAGCATTCTGATTATATTTGTTTACTCTTACGTTTATAATACTCTCACTCATCCCTAATTTAAAAAAGTTAACATTATTACCTATTCAATAAAAAAAGAATCATAGAAATCGGTATATAAACACCAAACTTATACATGAAATAAGCCATCGCGCCGTCGCACGTGAATACTGAATCATGCTATAAGGATTATTTTTGTGTAACGGTTGGAAACACTGATAATTTTAGAGGTTTTTAATGTAAGGTCGTAAATAAACACAGTTTTTCCGCTTACATTGAAAACGCTGGCTGAACCCTACGAGATCGATCAAAATATTGTACTACAGTATTGTATACCTTAAAAATGTCTTCAAAAAAGTCCGCCATGGTATCTGTCTATCTCTTAGGGATAACCCACAATAACCATTTTATATCCTATACTTTTTACGAGAAATAATAGATTATTTACGAAGCGATTTTCAGCAATATAACATTCTTCCTTATCCAATTCAGTACCTTAAATACATTGTGCATTTATTATAGACCAATTTGGCTATTTAACGCATGTAATTTAAATGAATATTTTCGAAGATATTACAGATTTAAAATGCAGGGATCAAGGACGTATAAAAAAAGGCGGACAGAATTTCGGCTAAGACAAAAGTGAGGCACCGTAATGGCGGCGGTTATCTATGAGTGAGTGAATGCAGGGTTGCTAGGTTAGCCAATTTTTTACCAATAAAAGACAGTAAAAAGATCAAAATATTTTAATTGTTCAAAATTTTACCCGACTGCGGTGGATAATGTTTTTCGAGCGTGTATGCATGTATGTATGCCCAATAATAAGGCGCCAAAATGAAACCTTTAGAAAAAAAATGCTTATAACCCGTCAAGCGAGGTATCAAAGTAAAGGGTCTTAAAAGAATGCAGTGGATCCCCGGTAGTCCGACAAACATTTTGCAGGGCAGTGTCGAACTATCGAATTTGTCGGATTATAGAGTACTGCCTAAGACCCCCTATAGTCCGAATTTTTTTACAAAAGAGTACCTTGTAATCCGACAAATTACAGATCCAATGATAAGATTACAAAACATACTTTGTTATGTTTGTCAAATTGAGTAAATTAAACAACACAATAGAAAGATTATGTTTTATTATAAAAGTAACGTCAAATGCTATAGAATTTACAAAAAAATATAAAAAACAATACCCTACGCGTCGAGCACAATTGTGATGGTGCGTACAAGTTGTAACTTGTTCAATCGTGAATTAGCGAATACTTGTATGTAATAGACGATGTCGGATTATAGGGGGTGCCGCATTAGCCAGGGGCCGGATTACCGGGGCTCCACTGTATTTAGAAAATAGGTATGCAAATCGTGTACTTAAAAAAAAATCGTGTTGCACTCGGGGACTGCCGCGGTAAAGCTATTGCATAGCATTATTTGTCAACTTATGCAATAATACTATTTATTTATGCAGTATTTTTTTTCTTTGATATTAATTCAAGTTTTTTCTCTGATATTAATAGATGGCGAGGCAGGCCTTATGATATTTTATTGGGCAAGCACAGCAAACAACAGCATTGCCCGGCGCCAAAAAACTTCCACATGCTCCACAGTTTACCACCTTTAGTCCAAAAATTATAATTATAAAGTCTAAATAAAAGGGAGACAAATAAAAATAAGAACAGGTGCTGGGGTCTAAAACAAATATATAAAAAATGGAAAAAAATATAATAAAAAATAAAACACGAGTGCGGGATTTGAACCGACGACCGCGGTGATGCGTCGAACGTTGGTCCCGTGGCAAAAATTTAACACACTGCACCGTTTCGATCGATACTGGAAAGGCGAAAATTGTGTTCATACGCACTGTTTTTAAGTTGGCATTGATCGAAATGTTTTGTTTAAATATTATCGTTAGTAATATTATTTATCGTTGAAAATATTTTAAAACTTTTGTTTCATTGTAGGTTTTTTTAAATAATCAAAGTTAATTCAAACTATTATATATAACAAATATTGACTTTTTTTATATTCCACTTTTTTTTCAACACTGAACTTAGCGCACTTTGCTGGTGCATTTGAAAACTAATTCACGTTCCAATTAATCATCAGCATAATTCGGCATTGGTAGCCACTGAGTCGCATTATGCTCTGTAATTGGAAAACTAACATGAAGTCTGTTTTTATTTTTGTATGAAAAAGTTTATATTTTCCACTTTTCATAAGCCAGAGTAAATCACCTAAATATGCCTGGCCAGGCCTGCATTCTTTTTTATATTTCTTAAATTAACAAAACATGCATTGAGTACTGTTTGTAATTGAGGAGTTCCATTGTTTCCCTCCGAAAATACTCATCAGCTCTGCACTTAATTAATACAGCCATCTCGCTAATAAACTGATTCAAACAAAAAAATAATCATCAAAATCGGTCCACGAATCTCGGAGATATGCACGAACAACAATTGAAAAAAAAAATAACAAATATGACGTATAGAACCTCTTTCTTTTTGAAGTCGGTTAAAATTTTTAATTTACCTTTTGAGGTACTGCATGCGTAACAACACGCCGGAGTCCTCTTTTAGTAGTATATAAGTCTCCAGCTTCAAAATGGATACTGCAAATGACACTATATTTATTTGGAATACATTCATCATCTCCGTTACAATTCCTAATAACTTGGATCCAGTCATTTCTCCATTCTACATTTTCTTTAGGGAATCTGATAAAAAAGAATAACAAATAATAGATTGAAGCTAATGTCACCCCAATTTCCCATATTTTAGGTAATATGGTTACGTGAACATTGACAACACTGGACTTTAGATTAATTATTTTGTGCTTAGAATGAAAATTGATTTCGATTTCTAAAAACTAGAAAAGAGTGATTATATTGTTCATTTACCTATGAAACGTGATTCCTGGATTTTTTTTCTTTCGGTCACTACGGTTTTTACACCATTTTACCACGCAAGACATCTTGTTTTAACTTATTTTTATCTCCACTTAACGTATCGGCTGCTTTGACGTTTGCACGCGTAATGGCTGACTATGGTGTGAATGTGTGTGTGCCGGCTTGTACATATAGCGACCTGGCCGACTCTGAGCGACACAGTTTGTTGTTTACCGGGACTCTGTCCGCCTTTTTTTATACGTCCATGGCAGGGATATAGCGGTTCCGACGCTACCGGGCGGGGCACCTGGTGGCGCGTGCCTATTGTAATTAGGTATTAGAAGAATGTCATTGTGTATAATACAAGCCTGAGAACAAAAACTATAGTCTACACTACAGCTCTACACCGAAGCGAAGCGCGGGCGGGCCACTAGTTTAAGTAATAAAAGTTTCATATAATACCGATATAAAGCGATTTTTTTTTCAAATTCAAAGTTCAAGTTCAATCATTTGCAACCTTTTTGCAACCAACCTTAGTAACTAAGCAATACTTAGGGACAGCTCAACTGATGCAGTTAATTTTACTATAAGTTCCATTTAGTTTTGACTTACTTCACTAGTGGTTTTAAATGCACAATTCCATTGCAAAACGATTATTAGCAGTCATAGTTTTCGTATAGGATTCTCATAGTATTTACTATTTTGTGATATTTATCTACGGAAATAATACTAACTTTTAATGGTGTAGTGTTTCTGTCGACAAGCAGCTCCATTTCCTTTCAAGGTTGATCGGGGTAGGGGATGTAATCTAAATTTTCAGGGAGGGTATGACGACAGCTTACACTCAGGCAGACCATTGCTATAAGACTGTTCACCACCCTATTTCCTCAAAACAAAAATACGTATTACACCGTCCTATTGTTTACGTACGTTGTAACGTATTACACCGTCAACTAACGTTGTAACTAGGGTTACCAACCCTACTATATAATATAGTATCCTACTATATTTGTGGATCAAGTACTATATTTCTAAAAATAAATATACATAGTAAGGAAAACTGCTATATTTTGCTTAAAGCAGACATTAGCCAGTAAAACCTTTCTTCATTTCATTATTTTAAGGCATAGAGTAGCAAAAATATATTCATTACAAAAATAAAGTTAATTATTTAATCACATACTATATTTTTTTCCATTTTTGTGCCAGTCATGACCTATATTTTTAGAGGTTCAGAATAGCTTCGAAAATACTATATTTGATAGAATAAAACTTGGTAACCCCAGTTGTAACGTATTACACCATCCTATTGTTATAGTAGGTACATAACGTATTACACCGTCCTATTTTTATAGTAGGTACATAACGTATTACAACGTCCTATTGTTGTTGGTTGCCGGTACTGGTAACTGACCTTGCCGTAGTTTGTCTTGAATGTCTCGGCGATCTCGAGCCGTTGCACGATGCCGCGGCGGCAGAGCACGTCTATGATGGCCTTCTCGTCGGTGCCGAAGCCTTTCATCGCCTTGCGGAGCGTCTCCGCATCCGCCGCCGGTTCGAAGGGGTCCGCGGGGTAAACCGTGGGCGTACACTGTGGGGGAAATAAATGGGGGTATTATGTGGGTTCTTCACTTGGCTCTCTAATGTTACAGTCAAATATAATTAATTGAAAAAAAAATCAATGTATTTGAAAACGATATGCAGATAATTAAATAAGTAAACATACATAGAAATGGAATATATAAAAGCATAGGCTCTTTAATTCTTCAAATTAAGTCGACAGTCAGATCCGGGCAAATAAAAGGTGTCCAATTTTTTACAGTTATTTTAGAGGTTCTAGTTTTAGAAAATCGTAAACAAATCCATGTATTCGATGGCTTAAGATAAATTAAAAAAAAAAAGTTTAATGGTGGTCGACTCAGGGTAGTGAATAAATAGAGATTGTCGACCCTTGACATTTCTATTCTTCTCATCAACAACTTTCGTTTGACATACATTTTCTTGTTGAATTTGATAAATAACAATTACACCTAAAATAAAAACCGGAAGTCACGTCATAATTTTGCATGCGGGCAAAATCAAGCAACTTCAAGGGTGTCGACCTCTAGACCTAAGATGGCTTTATTGTTCATACCCCAAACTTGATTCATGTATCTGATCCATAGGACTTTTATACAGCCGGCTCTCCGACTATGTGTACCTATGGACCTGAGTTATCAAAGAATGAGTTACTTTTACCAATATCTAGTCACTCATAAATATCTAGGAAAAATACTTAGCCGCAAAAATTTACCTGCATCTGAGAATAATAAGAAATTCGTACCTACCTAATGCTATAGAGGACATTTTAACAAAAAGATAAAGACGAATTATCTTTACGTTGTTTGTTTGTGTACTTTTTTCCATTTTATGTTATTATTTTTTATCAGTTTACACCTTCATAACATACGTAAACTTTCTACACAAAATGTAGCCGCAGCACTCAATGCTCGCCGATTTCAAAACGTCTGTCTTATTTCATTGACCCATGGGATTTATTTAACTCCAAAACTTTAAAATATCATATTATGCATTTTAAAATTAATCGTTACCTACTAGAATCAGAACGATTTCTTGAAGAATTGCTTTATTCGGAGCACAGAACAGAATTCGGACAGTGAGATGTTAATGTCTTACAAAAATGCCTTATTGGCCGAGTGATTATACGGTAGATACGACTTTAACGTAACAATAGAAATCGTAAAAATATTGAAGTAGGTCTCACAATCACGATCAAATCGATTATCATTGTTGTTCATTTAGGGGTCATGTGAAATTATTTTGTTTACGTTGTACAAACCAACTTAATTAATGATAAGAGTTAATAAAAAAATAAATTAGCTGTAGGGTAGGATGTAATGTATGTAGAAATTCAAGTACTTAATCAAGCTCTAAAAATATCACATAAAATCAGGATAAATTTATAATATAACTCTTAACGTCATCTAGCTAATGAATAATAAGGTTACAGAACATTTAAGGCGATTCTTTATTAAACCCACCAATTTGCCTAGCCCCAAAGTAAGCACTGTAGTCTGTAAGGCTTGTGTTATGGGATACTAGGGTAACGGATAGAATACATATACTGTACATATATAAGTTAGTATATTTATATAGAAATACATATTAAACATCCATGACTGGAGTACAAATGCTTGTATTCATCACACAAACATCTGCTCCCACCGGGTTCGAACCCGGGACCTCGAGATGGCGACACCATGAAACCTGGCGTACGAACCACTCGGCCATGGAGGTCGTCAAATATTAAATACGTAGATGTACTGCACACTTCGTTTAATTACCTAGGTACTACGCCTTCTCGGTAAATGTTCATTTTAAAGACGAAATAACAAACCGATTAGTCGATATGGAATGACATAAACTTAGTGTGCAGGTTGTTCACAGTATTTTCCTTCTAATTTTTAGCTACGGCCTCTATTTCAGTATTTAGGTACTAAGCGAGTATTCTGCGAACAAGATGACATCACCCGTGTGAATCGATAGCTATGTTTGTGCTTGCCTACCTACAATTAATTGCTAAAATGTAGGTGGTAAAACTTACCTTGTACGGGTAGTATTGCTGGCCACTCATTTTGGATATTCCTATAAGTAAAGAGAATGTAACGTTAGTAATATCACAACAAAATCCGCTTTCATAAACCGTCTATAAATATAACTGCGTTTGCCGGCAACACGGGCTAACAAACAAGTTGCCGGTTCGGCGGTGCCACAATTTAAATATTTTATTTACAAGTTTTTCTTTATTACAGAGGTTTTACTGTAATTTAGAAAGGTGACGATCACTTGGATGATGAATTATGTTTTGTTATCTCACTACAAATAGTTGAAAACCGTACATACTTGTATTGATATTTTCGTGACACACCCAGTCGAACTCGACGGCGCAAACTCAGAATCTGACTGGTATGAAACGCGGCGTGCCCGCGGTCGACCCGTATTTTGTGTTCGCCTCTCTTTTCCAGAGGTGCACAACAGTTCCTTCTAAATTAAGATAATATAAATCTAATATTATTTTCCATCGCATTAACCTGTTTACTACAAAAACATGTCAATTTGAGATTGGCATGTTTGATTACTAGTGCATAAAAGAGGTCTTAGTTTCTAATTCAAATACAAAACGAAGTCACTTTGAACATTGTGATAATTTAACTAATCATTTATAATGTAATAAATGTTAATATGTATTACATGTAAAATATTTAATAAATTTGATTAGGTTGGACCACTAGGCTACGGGACGCTGGCGACTGATCCACGCCCATGGTTGCGACGAGAGTGCAGCGGGCCTATTGCGCGAAGTCGGAGCGCAGGCGAAGCGTAGTCAAAGATGAAGTTCAGTGGATAATTCAGAAATTCGTATTGCGACGAGTTACAGCCGTCAACGGATGCGTTGACTGAGCAGCGCATGAACGTATAAAAGGTGTGCCAATGAAGAATTTTTGATGTGTAACATCTTTCCTCCGCTTTCGTGCAATTTGTGGGAGTGATTACGTGAAGTGGGACGGAAGTGTGTAACAGGAAGTTTGGGAAGCGCGCGCTATTTGATTTGATTTTAGAACATGATGTTCAAATGGCCTATTCCTTTTGTTGCAGGGTTTTTTACTAATATAAGGTGACGTTTAAAATGTTACACATCATACGCGACTACTGTAAGGCTCGCTCGTTTTTTTTAAATACTTCTAATTTATAACATTTAAATAAGTAAGTATCCTACTTTCATACTATATATTTGATATTTATTAAATATTATGATAACTATAAATATGAAAGTTTATATGTTTGTGTGTTTGTTACTCAATCACTCCAAAACTACTGAACGGATTTGGATGTAATTTGGTACTTATATAGTTTATGACCAGGTTTTAGACATAAGATACTTTTTATCCCGGAATATTATCAGGTTCCTGTGGGATTCTCAAAAACAAACTTCGCGAGCGGCCGCTAGTTGTTCTTTAAATATTTGCATAATTATTTGAGTCTTAAAAATATAAAAACCCAACATAGAAAACGTATTAGATGAAATATTTAGCAGAGGTTTTATCAAATATAGTTTTGCACTGGCAATCATGAATTCATACAACGCGTCATATTTAAAGAGTGCTTTGTGAAACAAGCTTTTATGTTCTGTAAACAGAGGACCACTATCGAATTTTTTAAGAAAATTTTTATCGTACTGTTTATATTGGAAGTGGTTTACGTATGATTTCGTAGAATGTGTAAGTAAATATACATGAGTGTTTCTTCATAAGTGGCTTTGGATGAAGGATACATATTTCAAGTTACTAAAGTGATTTACGAAGGAAAAATATTAGGGTAATGTGAATGGTTTATATAATACCAGATGAAAGAAAATGAAGAAGTTTCTAGTGTTTCACTATATACGACTTTATCAGAATAAGTACTTACATGGAACCATTATCATTAGCTTATTACTGCCCCACTGCTGGGGCACAGGCCTTCCTTATGAATGGCATAGGGAGACCGGGCCGTGACCCACCACGCGGGCCCAGTGCTAATTGGTGGGTGCTAACGACTGAAAATGCAGCTTCCGAAGCACGGAGGAGCTCGAGATAAGTTTAGTTGTCCTACGGCCGAAGTCATGGCAGTCCGATTTTCCGGGTCGGACCATCCGCGGCAAGCGTAAATACGCACTCAGCAAGCGTAAATAGCGCCATGAAATATCATGGCGCTATTTACGCTTGCTTAGTGCGCGGTTGTTCGTCCAGTAGTCTTTTGTTAAGTTAACGAGAGTTCTCGCACCTGCAGCGGCTGCAGGAAAGAAAAAAAATGCGGTCTCTTGAGTTTTTAAATAAACAATTCTACGAACGGCGACGGCGGCGGGTGCGGGTAAAAACCACTCCGTGAGTGCATAGCCTAAGTGAAATCTAGTCTGGAAATTATCGGATGCGAGAAGAAAGTGCGAACTTTTGACTCCTGGAGTTCTCTTTAGTTTTTTGGACAGTTTGTAAGAGTTTACAATTGATATACTTCTAAAACTAGTTATAATTTTAATGAATGTTAATGGACTGGTATTGAGTAATAATAAGTCGGAAATAATTTAGGGAATAAACTACAAGTAAAAGGAAACATTGAAATACAACTGTGACTTCCATTCGATCAATAAACATCACGAGCCATATAAAATGTTGTTAACATCTGCGCCACGTAATCCTGCCTGCTAGCCGGTGTGATGTGTAGTCGGATGATGTCATCGCGATGCCGTCCGCGGCTGCCGCCGCCCTCGTCCCACTGCCCAACCAAACTTCAAACATGAGCCAGCCACACTAACTTCTGACGTCACTCATTATGCACCTTACTGATTCACAATAAAACACTATTATTGGAAATGATATACATTAACTTACGTGTGTGACTGTGTATAGGCCATAGGTCTCCCACAGACCGAGTGAACTTCAAACGTGACCCAGTCAGAATAACTTCTGTTTTTCGTCACCATGTCTTTATGCACCTTACTGATTTACCGAAGATCGAACGCGTCAACCACAGTGACGCGCTGAGCGTTCAGTCTGTCTGAGTCTACAATCGTGGAAGTTTGGCATTAAGTTTGGGTTTAGGATGTTTTCCGGAAATTATCATGATAGACTGCCAGCCTCTTGCCTGCAATTTTCCAATTACTGTACCCTCATTTTGATAGACTTTTACTGTCTGTACAAGAAAGTTAACATCCGGCGCAAACCATTGTTTTATAAGGTGTAGGTATGTTGACTGAATGTCATTGACTGATTCACATACGGAGATTTAAATCTTTATTCACGTAGACTTAGTCACGTATTTTTTTACCAGTTCCATGCAAGGGGTGACGATTTCACGATGATTGAATAGGCACCGAAAAATTCGTGAGCTCAAGTTGGCTCACTCTGGAAACATATAGGCAGGGCCAAACTCGTTTCGCCATGGGTAAACGCTCAGTGCCCTCTTTGACATATTGGAGGCCCTGGGCATATTAGGATAATGGGGCCCCTATAACCCCCGTTTGGTGATTTAACAGGAACTAGGGACTTTGTATTCCGTCCGGTAATAGCAAGCTTCAACCTAGTTGTCACGGACAGCCCCATTCAGAGGATGCATGGAGGCAGAAGTTACTGACGTTCTGTTGGAATGCAACGGAGTGGAAGAATACGAATCTAAAATGTTGATGAGGCCTTGGTTTTTGACGGAGCTGCGTTGGCTGGAGTGACTTCGGCAACACACCTTCTACACGCAAAACAGGCGGCATGCGGACGTTGAGTTGTGGAAACGGCTGTAGTATCTGTACTAGTACTCTACGGGGTGACTAGCGTTGACATAATTATACTATTTGCACTGAAAAGTCAGCAGCGGGTGCATTCTATGTTTTTCCTTCTTTGTCAGTCCAATGTGATTAAACTAGTGATTACTTTTTTATAGACGGAATATAGTTATGTCTGCTGATTTCTTAGATCAGCTCTAAGGCTGACATATATCATTAACTGATTCACGTAAGTGAAATTTCGTGATTCATTTTGCTGTGCTCTTAGTGGCTCATAATAAAGTGAGTAAGACATTTTAATTTTTACCCGATTACACAAGGATGAGAGATGCTTAGTTTTTCTGTATATGTATTATTATTTATAATGTATGTACAGGGAACTGAGGAGCTCGATGGCGCAAGTGGTTAGCGCGTTCGGCTGCGATCGTTGAAGTTAAGCAACTTTCGTAGTGGTCGGTCATTGGATGGGTGACCAAATTCACTATCTCGAGCTCCTCCGTGCTTCGGAAGGCACGTTAAGCCGTTGGTCCCGGCTGTATCTGCAGTCGTCACCAATCCGCACTGGGCCCGGGTGGTGGGTCATGGCCCAAACTCCCTATTTCATCCATAGGGAAGGCCTGTGTCCCAGCAGTGGGGATATTATAAGGCTGATGATGATGTACAGGGCTACGTCCCACGGGTTTGTCACACGGGGGGAAAGTATATAAAATATTGAAGATATTTTAATGAAAGAAGACATCAGATTTATTTTTAATAATAACTACATCTGCATTCACAGATTATTTTTTAAATCACCTGCTACAACCTTGAGCGGTGTCGTTAGATTCGCATTAATTGTGATCGTGGTGATGCGAGTAATAGATATTATAGATTATTAGAAACTCAGTAAGAAGGTATTTCTTAAACCAAGGGATGTACTTAATATAATAAATTTTAAGAAGAAAGTACCTGGGAAGTGTTAATTTTCGAATATGAATGCGAAAACCCGGGAGCTACTTGACTTTTCGCCATAATCTTGAAAGATATATACAGGTCGTCCCACGAATACCTCACACGGAGGGAAAGTATATTAAATATTGAAGATAGGATATTTTACTGAAAGGATCGTTCGTCGTTTTATTTTTAATAGTAACTATAACTGCATTCACAGATTTTTTTAAAATCGCCTGCTACAACTGGGAATCAAACTCGTGAAATTTCGAAAAAATAAACACAATATATTTAATGATAACCATCGAAAGGGTGAATCATAAGGATTATTTTTTGCTAAATATCATAGCCTTTTAAATGAAAGGAATGTCTTATTAACGTGATAAAAATAATAAAGTGATACACAAACTGTAGTACGTGTGCATTTCTTTTTGAACTCACAATGCGATTGGCTAAAATTTGTAAAAATAATAATTTAAAAATGGAACACATAAGCGTCGTTTTGTTTTTTGTAAGTTTCATTTTCGTTTTTTCCCAATTTTTTGTTAATTTACTTACCATGGGGTATCTAAATAAAATGTATTTAATGGAAGTTTACATAATATACCACAATGACATATTAGCTTTGCGGTGGTACCGCGAATGATACCCTGATAGAGGTACACACGTACCTTCTCGATATGTGTTTAAAAGGTTAGTGGATACTTTAAGAAATTTATGACGTTTTGATGATAAACAGCAGCGGATGATAAACGTCAATGATGATGAACTCAATATTTCAACTTACTTTGGGGCGTATCCGATTTTAATTTGTGTTCAATAATTTTAAATAAAATGTTAAATTAAATTACTGTTCTTTCGTTTAAAATGCTATGTTATTGGACAAAAATTAATCTTTATGATTAACCCTTGCGATGGTTATCATAAAATATGTTGTATTTTTATTTGAAATTTCACGAGTTTGATTCCTAGTAGTAGTAGGCGATTTTTTAAAAATCTGTGAATGCAGTTCTAGTTATTATTAAAAATAAAATGATGTCTTCATTCAGTAAAATAACCTAACTTCAATATTTAATATACTTTCCCTCCGTGTGAGGTAGCCGTGGGACACCTGTATAATAGAACCAATCGATCACATAAATTTTATTGCTTTTGCGTACATCAGTTTCAGTCGTAACGGTGAAATATGAGATACTTGAAAAGCATTCTTTTCGAGTCTTTTTACAATATTCAAATATTCGTACGTAACAATGTATGTAAGTTTCAAAATGTAATCCAATGGTAACATTGTAATAGAAATCGAGGCTTGACCACTTCACACTGAATTTTGACCCCCATATGAATAAACCAAGAATAAGGTTGGATTAGCTACTCCATGTTTTGTCTCTGTTCATAAAATGACAAATGACATTTGAGTGATATGAACAAAACGCGGCGTAACTACTCTCTTACTATTAAGGAGATGTAAGGTCGACGTTGTAATGGTCGGGGGGAAAAAATCCCCATGCATTTACGCATTATCATACAGATTTGTTTTATAGGACTTCATAGTTAATTCGATGTTGCATGGAATATTTTATTTGGATAAATGATAGTTTTTCGTAGTAAACTTTTCTTTAGATTTAAAACATCTAGCAGTTAAATGCTTAAAAAGTAAAAACATAACTATAATTGCTATTTCTTCTTTCAAAATATGTTTAATACTAGTAAAAGTATTCATTTGACATTTTGGGTTACCTACAATGCGAAGAGATGGCGCTGCCTTGCAGCCTAAGGCTAGAGAAAATTCGACACGGCAGTCAGGGCCGCGGTAGCATAATGGTCAGTTTATTTGCCCGGATAGCGAAGGGTGCGAGTCCCGTCTGCTGCCTGGTCCGCGTGGATTTTTTTCTAGTAAACTTTTCTTTAGATTTAGATAGGTAACATCCAGCATTTAAACACTTAAAAAATAAAAAACATTATTATGAACAATGCAGTCTTGCTATTTTGGATCCCCTGGTAAGCATATTTTGTCACTCACCAATAATAGCTAAGTGTAAACCTCAAACCTAACAATCAAACTACAAGTGTAATCATAACAGAGTATCGTATAAAAACCATGATTTATTATATAATAATACATTTAATTGGAAATCATCATTTAATGGCAGTTCATCGCCATAGCTTGTGACAGATATACTGGATCCCATATACATAAATATATATATATTAAAATATTGATACAAGTCGTTCCAAAGTTGCTTCTAGTCTTCTAGGAAGAAGTATTGGCCTGCCCGCTTTTGCTCCATGTCCTGAAGAAAAAAAAAAACAATATTATTAAATGATAAGACCTGAAGTTTGGGTAATAAAAATGACAAGTTTAACATGTCTCGTCATCAATGATTTGTGTAATTGTTGTTTATTCTTCACAATTGATGATTAAATATAATAATTTGAGCTATCACAGCAGTTGTGCTAACAAACAGTAAACACACATTGTGTCCAAATCTGTAATGTTGCAACAAATATTTAGAATGCGAATACGAATTACCCGGCAGAGTAATAAAACACAAATATTTAACCTTAAATGTATGTATGTATTTGTAAATTATTTAACCTTTTCCTAATTGTTTTATTAAACTAATAAATGAATTTACAACTATCAAATTTTTATTAAGAAAACACAACATCTGTAGATTCGCTGGTGTCAGGCGACTTCTTTTTTCAGTCTAGATGTTACCTACTAGCCATTGAGGAAAGCCTAATTTGACAATTTTCTTGCAGATGGAACAAAAGTATTTTTTTTTTCACACTTCACATGAGTTTTGTTTGTTTGAAGAGAAAGTTTCTGTTTCGGTTGTCTCACTCATTTCCTTTACTATAGATCGTTTTCGCTAGTCCATGCGTTTATTTTATTCCCTGTGGCTTAAAAAGGCTACTATACTGATTCCTTTGCTTGCCTCTTGGAAGGAACAAAACTCATGTGAGGTTTTTTAGCATGTTACATATAAATGATAATAATAATGGCAAGAATATATAAACGTATAATAATATTCTTTATTGTATAACACCACAAAAAACACAAAAGTAAGATTACACTGACTGAGAGACATTACACAATGGACGGCTTTGTTGCTAAATAATAGCAATCTCTTCCAGGCAACCCATGATGGAAAATGAGTAAATATATAAGTACAAAAACATTATTTATATTCATGTTAAACTATGTGACTGCAGTTGAGAACTTTTGGATAGGGTAATAATTTTAGGGTATAAAGCCTGTTTCACAGTTCTAAGCAAGCTACTTTGAATATAAAGGTGATTTACTATATTTTATCTTATTACTCATAGCAAGATATCGCACACCATACATTTACATAGAACATGTTCACACTGCGCTATTACCATATTGTATGAACTTGCTATACGCCTTATACTTTATAGTACAACTAGGTGTACTAAGCGGTTTTACCCGCGGTTTATTAGAGATATTTTCCCGCAGTAAAATGTAGCCTATATGTTAATCCAGGGTGTCCAGCTAACTCCAAATCAAATTTTATTAAAATCGCTCCAGCCGTTTGAATGTGAAGTAGTGTGAACATACACACTCACAAACTTTCGCCTTTATTATATTAGTGTGATAGTATAGCCGTAGTAAGATCGCACTTTTATGTTGTAACTAGGTAACTTAGAAACGTGAAACCGGCCCTAAGTGTAATAAAAAATCAAGGCTTTTAGAATTTAACCAAAAATCTCTTGTATTGTTCACATAGTGCAAATTTTATTGTGGGCGAGTACTTATGCTTTACTTTGACATTACAGTCTTAGCCGAAAATCTGCTGTGCTCTACCTCTTTTATTGCTAAAGCCACTTTTCAGGTAGGCAATACAGGAGTAATAAGGGTCTAAAAGCTATGGTGACATATTAGATAAGGGATTTGCCACCAATTTACGCAAAAAAATAAAAGTTAAAAGCCAGAATAACCACCTACCTTTACTGATGCGTGTTTGTTGATCCTCGGTCTAAAATTGTTAGGGTCTCTCCTGAATGTAATGCCGAGTAGTTCCAAAAATCGATTCATGCCATTGAGGAGAGATTGTGGCGCATGAGCAGTCGCGTTTGCCGACGGCGTGCCTTCGAACACTATCACCCGGTCAGCTAAATATGTGGCCATTATAAAATCGTGCTCCACTACGAAACCTGTTCGCTTGGCGTGTAGAATAAACCTACAAAGAAACAATATTTTAAGGTAAAACACTGATAAAAATATATTTCCTGAAATTTGTATTTTTTATTTAAAGGTAATGGAATTGTGTCAGCCTTGCCATACAAATTTTCAACCCCAAATCGGCATAATGCTAAGCCAACTGTATCATTGCTTTTATTAAAATTTAAGATTGCTAAAATTTATATTAGGTGAAATTATATTATTTTACACTAACCTTTTAATAACTTTGGCAGCAACAAGACGCTGTTCAGAGTCTAGGTAGGCAGAAGGTTCGTCAATGAGGTACACATCAGCAGGTTTGCCAAGGCAAAGCACCAGAGCTACTCGCTGCAACTCACCACCAGACAAGTTCTGGACTTCTTGATCCATAATTTCTTCAATTTTCATGGGTTTCATTACATCTGTTATAAACTGTGGATAGAGTATACAATACTTTATTAATTCTTAATATACATGAGCAAAAGTTTAGTTTAAGTAATAACATTTCTGCATTGAAAAATTGGTAACTTAGTCTTCTGCTTACGTTAGCCTATTTCCAGAAGAAAGTCTTAAAAGCTGGGATGGGCAAAGGTGAAGTATATACAGAGCGGAAACCTTAAATCTAGAGTTGAGAAAAGTAATCATATCACATAAAGCAACATTTTTTTATAGAAAACTATTTAAAAGAAAATGATACTAGAGAGAAGCAATATTTAAGTGTATGTAAACTTTGTTCAGAAAGAAATTAAACTATAACATGTAATTGTAATATGTTTGATAGCTCACCTGCGGATGGATATAGGCATCTCTTATTTTATCATGCAGTAAATTCCGAACTAGCCCTTGAGATTTGGGTGAAATTTTCTGTGGCTTATAACTAATGTGGAGCTGTGGCAGCTGGCCAGAACCTGTATAATAAAAACAAAAAAAAAAGTCACTTCTAACATCAAATATGTTTATCTATGTGTCACATATCTCCAATTTAAATTGTTTCTATTGGAGAATGGTTTTTAATTCAATATATTCATATTTCTAGTCCTAAATCATTAACGAAACTTGTATTGCCGATACTAGCCATTTTATATACTGTTTGGGTTTTAGGTTGTTTTTAATATTATTCGTTTCCTTGTTTTACCTATCAACGAATGTACATCAAGAAGACCAGAGTATCAACGACTTAACTGGAAAATGTTTACACTTTCTATCCCATTACTTTATCCTATTAATATTGTACCTAGATGTTTTCTGCGATTATGCCTATGTCAAATATCAATACAGTAAATAACACTGTTGTAAACTGTGAATCAAATACGAATTGCGCGCAGCACGTAAAGCAATACAACTATTCAATGTCATCACATTACATCTATACCTTCTGGCGATAACGTCGACTCCGCATGTCGTAAACACTTTTGAAACACAGGATGGAAAAATAAATCGAACAGTTCAGTCTTCGCCATCACAAAAACAAATATTATACATCGAATTCATCAAGATATGCTTACTGCAACAATTCTATAACCTCAATATAAAAAACCAACGCTTCATTGTTTAAACTCCAAAATAACATTCAATAACAAGAAATAACCGTTTTTTTTCTGTAGTTAGTCATAAATAAACCAATATTTTACAGATATTAACGTAAAAACGTATCCTTTCAACAAAATCGAATTCATTTGACAACTTTCACGAATTTGACGTTTCTCTCAAAAAGTTGCCATGTAAAAACGGTTTCGACTCGATTATTAAAAAAAAATCGATACCTATATATGAAACTCGAATAACTCGATGAAACAGATGACAGATGATAAAAACGAAAAAAACATGATAAACATCAAAATAAACGTTTTTTCGTTCTTATTGATTCGTGAAAGTTGGTTCTTATTGATTAGATGGATAAACTCACGTTTATATTATAAATCTTTGTAAATATGAAAATTGATTCTTTAAATTCAATTGAAAAATAAAAGATTAAAATTCTTATTAAACAAGTTTTTCACAGATTCACAATTTTTTTAGCTTTGGTATGTTTGGGTTCTCCAAACAACATCCAAAGCGTGACAAAGGAGCCCTATATCTCTGCTGCCCGTTTGTTACCAGGCTGTAGGTTACAAACCGTAACAGTTACATAGTTCAATTTATTTGTGTTTTCAACAGTAACTATTGAACTTTGCAATACTATGGTACCGGCCGTGTGAGTCCGATTCGCAGTGGCCTTTTTTTTGTTTTATTAAAAATTGTCGTAATACCGATTCTCTTGTTTATATCTTTATCTTTTGTCATCGTCATCATCATCAATCTATTAATGTCCCCAATGCTGGGGCACAGAAACAGGCACAGGCCTTCCCTGTGGGTGGAATAGGGAGATTTCGCCATAGCCACACTATTGATACAAGGCGAGGCACAATAGTCTAAGTGACGTGTACAACCGAACTACCGAGACTGAAAAGTCCCATCAGTTTGATCCACAGGACTACTTATAAAAGGCGTCCAAAATGTAGCCTTGTCACTCAGGAATAATATAGCTTTATAACAATGAAATAGTTTTCTAAGTCAGTCCAGTAGTTTTGAAGTTGTGTTACAAACATAAATATTTTTACTCTTTATAATATTAATAAAGATAAATGCCGTTAATAATGTTAAATTAAAATTCGCATACCTTCATCAGGTTCCAAGTTACCAGCTAACATTCTGATGAATGTCGTTTTTCCAGTTCCATTTTCACCAAGGAGTACTAAAATCTCAGAATCTGAGAATTCACCAGGCCTTACGAAAAGACTGAAGTCACCCATTTTCTTAGACATCTCAGGGTATTCATAGTGGTTCATACGCTTTATCTGTTGAGCACATTACGAGGCTTAGCTTTGATTAAAAAAACATACGTATTACACTAATATAAAAAGGTATGATAACATTTTCTTCCTATGTAATAAACTTACCTCTTCTTCTGTAGCTGATTCAGCTACTTTAAATACCAATGATTCGGTTCTGAATCGCATGTTTTCAGTAGGCACGAAGCCATCAAGGAATATGTTGATACCTACAGGAAAAGATGTGGTTTAAATTGAATCCAAAGATTTTGTATAATTAAAATTTACCACTAAGCACACATTACAATTCAGGAAGACATGAGCTATACACATTTATACTTTGAAAAAATATGGTATAGGTACTTAAATGGTTACTTTAACTTGGGAGTAACTAGAAAAAGAAGTATGTTGTGATTTAGAAATATTAAACGAAATATTTGTTACCTTCTCGAACGGAGAAAGGCATAGTTACAACACCATAAGCACCAGGCACACCATACAGGCAGCAGATGAAATCCGACAAGTAATCGAGAACTGACAAGTCGTGTTCTACGACAATGATGAATCTGAAACATTTAGTGATATTAAACCACAATATCATCTGCAGTGTAGGTTACATCAATAGCTGAAAAGCAAAATTATATACATGCATATTATTAAAGAGAAAATTCTAGTCTAGGCATTTTTTTCATGGAATAATTTCTTTGTTTTTTATAATCCATTTTAGGGTTTCGATGCATGTAGTAGACTGCCATTACACAATAAGGTTGTCTATACGAAGGGAACAAATATAGACTTATGTGTAGATCAGTAAATGACAGTGAGTTAATAAATTGGCTTTTAACTAATAATTACTGAATTTAATTTAATGAATTAGTTACTAATTCATATATTCAAGGGAATAAGTATAGACTTATGTCTAGATATAGATGTCTTGATCAGTAAATGACAGTGAGTTAATAAATTGGCTTTTATCTTATTCATACATTTCTAGTAGGTTCTAATTAAAGGATTGTTATAGAGATATTAAATACATTTATATATTTTCTTATTATCACTAACTAATTGGTTGCAAAGCGATGCTGATATAAATTAATTTGTAAATTAAGCTATACAAAAACATGTTTTTTATTGAAATTTGAATTCAGAATTAAATATTTTGTAGTTGAATTATGGACTACTGAGCAAAATAATTTTTATTGTTATAATCTCACTTGTCAGGATGAATCAAAGAACGGATAGTTCTAGCAGCGTTCAGACGCTGTTTCACATCAAGATATGATGATGGCTCATCGAACATGAATATGTCACCATCTTGAATGCACACCATAGCACAAGCAAACCGTTGCAGTTCTCCACCAGATAATGCTGCAATTTCACGGTCTCTGATGTGCGATAAATCTGAAAAGGTTTATGTCTTTTTAGGCAAATCCCTATAGTTTATTAATGTTAACTTACTAGATACTATGTATGGATGTTAATTAGTATAACTTAGGAATAATGTAACTTACTACTGAAGGTATTTAAAAAATTTGGTGCACATACCTTCTACAACTACCTCTTTATAATATGAAATATAGATACATATTTGAAAATTTAATGTTACAACATTTTTATTTAAGAGTCTCACTGCTACATTTTTATACAGATTTTTTGATGGTTGAAGAATGGTTGACGAAAATGGTAAAAACATTAAAGGGTTATTATTTTTCTTCAGTAAATAGATACAAATATTATGAAAAAAAATGTCTCACCAAGCATTTCACATATTTCAGGCTGATTATTCCTTTCATCTTTCTTGTTAAGCAACTGTCCCACAGTTCCTTTCACAGCCTTAGGTATCTGATCCACATATTGGGGTTTGATCAGAGCTTTAATATTATCTTCCAAGATCTTAGTGAAATAGTTTTGCAATTCCGACCCGCGGAAATGTGATAGAATCTCTTGCCAGTCTGGGGGATCCTAATAAAATAATTAGTTTGTCATGATATAGGAAATAAAATATATTACATATTAAATTTGCCAAATGTAATGTCTAAAACTTCTTATGAGCTTGAAGCTGAAAATTAAATTAATAAAAATAATTGTCCATTAAAATTAGTAATATTTTCAGAATAGTTCTATGCTTATAAAGTCTATTTCTATCTGCATGAGAAGGCTAACAGCTAGTGCATGTTTTCTTCATAAATACAATAATATAATCAAATTATTGGCTAAATCAATACAATGAGTTTACATTTACTTATGTACCAGGAGTTATAATTTATAAGTAAAATAAAAAGTAGGTTTTGTTAGTAAAAACAAAACAAAAAATCATCTTACAGCATAACGACCCAAATTGGGCTTTTGCTTTCCAGCAAGAATCTTCAAGGCAGTGGATTTGCCAATACCGTTCTGCCCAACCAACCCAAGCACTTCACCAGGCCTTGGAATGGGTAATCGATGCAACTTGAATGAGTTCTTAGAGTACCTGTGAGTAGTATGTTTCTCCAAGTTTGATGGTATATTGATAATGGTAATTGCATCAAAGGGGCATTTCTGTAAACATAAAACAAAATAACATTCTTGGTTTAGTTTCATTGAGACAAATAAAAGAAAAAAAGAACATTAAGTGAAAACCAGACCGTTTCTGTTGTATAAAGGATTAATTAATTATTTTGTCATTAATATATTTTTTTTCAGTTATTACTAGTTGATAAACATTGTATGATAATCTATATCTATAGTAGGAATAGAAGAAGGTAAACTTATAAATTTAAAGTCATAAAAATTATTTTGTGTTTGATGGTTAGGTTGACTTTAAAATTAGTGTAAAGCGACTTCTAAAGTTTGCATGGGTAATAAATTGATAAAGGTAATTGCAAGCTTACTTTGACACAAATACCACAACCAATACATAGCTCCTCAGAGATTGTGGCAATCTTATCATTGGGGGTGACTTCTATACAAAGCTTTCCCATTCGCACCACAGGGCAACTCTTCTTGCATTCCTGTCTGCATCTTTTGGGCTTGCAACGATCGGCGTTCACAATAGCAATACGAGTGAGCTTATCCGTTTCCTCTTGGTGTTTATGTCGAGACATAGCTGGTGGTGAAATCAAGCTTTAGCAATCAATTAAAAATGGTCACACATTCAAATATTTTTATTGAACACTCATTATGTGGCACACAACCTAACCTCAACAATTGAGATAAGTTACGAGTTCACTTTAAGATAAAAGTTATATGATTTTTTGTATATATTTCTTATTAATGCAAATAGAACAAATTGAGGCCTAGAAATAATATAGTACCTGATAAAAGAAAGCGAACGTTGACGACACTTGTCTACGTTCGCACGTACTTTTAACATGAAACGTCAAAAAGGAAAGAAAACCAACGTGAGTGAAGTGAAGTTATCAGTAGTCACTTCATTTTGCCAAATTGGATGCGTTCTGAAATTTATGATATTATTTTATAATTTTTGATGAACTAAAAATTTTGTGTACCTAATAACACTAAAAATTACACACATTAGCTTGATTGCGACTAAAGTTCAAAGTATGATTTTAATTAACGACGTAACAATTCTAATTGTTTAGCACACAAGTAAGTAGAATATATTCTAGGGATTTTAAAATTCTTCAGAAAATACCCTTGTTTCGGGGGATCATTTTATTTTTTGCTAGCTACCGATGCCGGTGTTGTGCTTGTACAGCAAATTTTTGATGCCTGGGAGAACTCGCATGATGCACTTGGTGTGTTTTGCGACTTATCAAAAGCTTTTAATTTCGTTATTCATGAAACTCTGATCAGGAAATTTCACCATTATGGATTTAGAGATGATGATGATGAGATGATGATTTAGAGATGAGACACTGGATCTTATTGTATTATATTTGAGTGATAGGGTTCAGAGGCTTGACATCAATGAAGAAAAATCTCCTGGTTCGCCGGTTGTTGAAATGAAGTTGAATTGAAGATGGGAGTTCCGCAGGGCTCAATCCTTGGTCCTTTCTTATTTTTAATTTATATCAATGATTTTCCCTATTTTGTAAAAGAGAACCACAAAATAATATTGTTTGAGGACTTCACTTTTGTTTAAAATTAAACGTAGGCAGTCACAAATTGACGACGTGAACAAGTCTATTTCTAATGTAGTCCACTGGTTCAATGTTAATAATTTACTACTAAATGAAGGGAAAACTAAGTGTTTGAAATTTGTATTACCTAATGTCAAACAGGTAAAAACCAATGTTTAAATAAAGGATAGAAATGTGAGCCTTGTAAATACCGCAGTGTTCTTAGGAATCACACTAGATTCAAAGCTGCAATGGGTCCCACATATTAATAGAGTGTCGAAGAGACTTAGTTCTGTAGCATATGCTGTAATGAGAATACGTCAATTAACGGATATAGAAACTGCCAGATTAGTCTACTTTAGTTTTCATAGTGTAATGTCTTACGGTACTTTACTGTGGGGAAATGCCGCCGACATTCAAACTATATTTGTGCTTCAGAAGCGGACTATTCGATCAATTTATAATCTTAAAGTTAAGGAATCCATAAGAGATAAGTTTAAAGAAATAGTCATAATGACGGTTGCATCACAATACAAACTGTAAACTTAGTATTTGTCAAAAAAGCAATATTCAAGAGTTAAGCCTGACTTAATTTAAATCCACCATTAAAAAACACTTATTATTAAAGCTTATTATAAAGTGGTGTCGATTCTGGCACGATTCTCTAAATCTAAACTTAAATTTGACAACAGTGTATCCTTGTCATTCTTTGTACAGAATGAAAAGGAGAAACTGATGTTAAATTTAGTTTTAAGTTTAGAGAATCACGCCCTAATCGATACCAGTGTCTGATTATATTACAGACAAAAATGCTTGGGTTTGAACTGTTCCAAGCATTCCAACGGGTATTTCTATATGATATATATTATGAATCATGTGTTGACGATACTTCTATTGAATTTAAAAGCTGTATTAAAAGTTGATTACTCAAGGAAGAATATCAGACTATTTAAGAACATTTCAATGACAAAACGGCGCGTGGTAATTATTTCTCCATTGTTTTTGCTTTGTAATTGTTTGCAGTGTCCTACAGATAAATTACTTTAATTTTAAGTCATTATGTTGTGGTTAATACAGGTGGTTATGCTCTTAAAATTTGTATGTAAAAATCTTTCTCGTACTTTCTACATTTAGAACACAGACCATGATGCTTACGCAGAATCAATCAATTTACTACCAACCTTACGAAACTAAATGTGAGCCATCTTAATTTTGATCTGATCAAGGAACTTATACTCAATCTTTAAGTTTCTTGGATGCGATAGGTAAAAATTTAGTTACGTAATATCTAAATAGTCTGTTACTTGTAACATATTTCTTGAAATATGAACATAAGACTTTGCAGTATGGCTTAATTCATTCGCCTGTCCCAATGGAGAAATTATAATACTACTAAGTAGCAAAGAGTAGTATGATAAACCGGAAAAAGAGTGCCCTCGTTAGGAACTTTAATGCATACTGCATTTGAATCGCCAACTAGATTTCTCAACAGGAATTAAAAGCGCTACCTAGCTATTCGTAGCTACCAGGTACCAATAATACACTACCAATAAACTTGGAATATTCTTCTCAAGATCGATTTTATCCTAATTTTCTTTTTTTCTAAGAAAATTGGAAACAAAATCACCCACAATAGGACTTTGAAAAGAAAATGGCGAATCCGCAGCTATAGTGTATTTTTTTTTTAATTTTCTATTTTTAGAATTCCTATATTTATAATAATATTATTATGGAGCCGTTTTTTTACATTCATCATCTCCAGTATACGTCTACTTCCCAGATGAAATCCGATTGATGGACCGACACCAACATCTGAAATAAATTAACGTGTGAATGTCACTTTTAGACTAAAAATTTCTAATGTACCTAGATATATGTCTAGGTACAAATAGTACTTATACACAGTAATTTTACAAAGAATCAAAGTAAATAGTAGGAGTAGGATAGGCACTGCGGAGATTTTTACTTGTAGCTTATTATATCTATATGATATTCGACATCTACTTAACTAATAATAGTTTCCATCCTAATCCATCCATCCATCTATTAATAAATAGTTTATGTTAGCTATTAAATTCAATCTGAGAAGTGAGGTTAGAATGCCGGTTAACAAAAGGTTACCGATATTTTTGTCCTTAACTATTTGCAAATGTTTAAATTATTTCTGTATTAAATTATAGAATATTAATATTATATTTGTTTCTTAGGTTTTCACGCACATCACTCATTAAATAAAACTAGTTTTTACGGGTTAATGCACGAAATAAATCAATAAATAAATAAAGTTTCGTGCATTAACCCGTAAAAACTAGTTTTATTTAATATTATTAATTACCTGTGTTCTTACATCCAAATAATCGTCGGTGAGGCATCGTGTCAATGTTTGCAAGCAAACCACAATATAACTTAAAATCTTTCTTCCGCGAATTTAAAGGACTCCTGGATATTTATCTAAACACGGAAACGGAGGAGCAAGCTCGACTCGACGTCGGCAATGTAGAAAATATCTTTAAAAGTTCATAATAAACACAATATAACATACAATTCAAAACCAAGCGCTAGCGCAGGGAGCGGTGTCCATATTGTACAATTTATGGCAAAGTATCGATTTAATAATGAATATTTGACAATAATTTTATTCAATAAAGTAATTACTTTAAGGAATCGTTATTACATTAAAACAATTATAATAAAAAAATCATGATAATTAATAATTTTTAATCGTTTGTCTTTTATTGCCATATAAAAAGTAACAAATACATTAAAATTCGTTCAGCGACATCTACTGCCATATGATGAAACAGTTTTTATATGTCAAACAATTTAGATGGCGCTACTTTCTTTGTGGATAAATTATTTGTATGGGACTGTCCCCCCCTGCTAATTAGTCTGTGGACGTTACTGATAGCGAGAATTGTTTTTTTTTACGGTTTTGTTGATATAAAAATATATTAAACTTGTGTGACGTGAAATTTCAGTTACTCTACCAAGTAATTGGTTCATTGATATTATTAAAGACGTATTATGATTACCATGAAAATAGGGTCTCTTATTTGCATTAAATAAGTAAATCGTGCAATACACCATAAAATGTGAACTTCTTTTTACTTTGTTTGTTGAGCGTGGCTTATTGTTTTGATGCACAAACTATACAGGATGGTCCAACTAGTGACGTCAACAATTTTTTTTAGATTTCTCGCACTTGGGTGTATCCGAAAATACCCCATGTATGTTCCGCGATTTTTCTTAGTTTTCGAGTTATATTTTTTTTGTGTATTTTTAATGATTTCTTCCAGCGAGGTTTCAAAAATTCATATCTTCGTTCGTAGTACGTATTTTGCAGTCTTTTTTTGTGACATAATTTTCTTGAATGTTGTTTTAATAAAAAAATAACTCAGATTCCTGAAATTATTTAAAGTTACTCAAAAATGGCTTGAAAGTTAGAACTTTAGTACGATTTAGGTACTTAAACATTCAACTTCAATTTACAAATATAAAAAAGAGTTTCCAAAGCTTCTGGTTAAGTTTAAAAACTCCGCATGCTTTTAAACTACAAAAAAAAATAGTACTCAATCAGCCTATTTTTATAATTTTTATTATTTTTAAAGCATGTAACTGCTTGATGTTTAAATCTAAAGAAAATATAACTAGAAAAAATTCCACGCGGACCAGGCAGCAGACGGGACTCGAACCCGCACCCTTCGCAATCCGGGCGAATGCACTGACCAATTATGCTACCGCGGCCCTCACGGACCGCGTCGAAATTCCTTCTTGATTGCGAAGGGTGCGGGTTCGAGTCCCGTCTGCTGCCTGGTCCGCGTGGAATTTTTTCTAGTTATATTTTCTTTAGATTTAAACATCAAGCAGTTACATGCTTTAAAAATAATAAAAATTATAACTATAATTGCTATTTCTTCTTTCAAATGTTTAATACTTGTAAAAGTATTCATTTGACATTGTGGGTTTACCTATAATGCGAAGAAGGAATTTCGACGCGGTCCGTGAGGGCCGCGGTAGCATAATTGGTCAGTGCATTCGCCCGGATTGCGAAGGGTGCGGGTTCGAGTCCCGTCTGCTGCCTGGTCCGCGTGGAATTTTTTCTAGTTATATTTTCTTTAGATTTAAACATCAAGCAGTTACATGCTTTAAAAATAATAAAAATTATAACTATAATTGCTATTTCTTCTTTCAAATGTTTAATACTTGTAAAAGTATTCATTTGACATTGTGGGTTTACCTATAATGCGAAGAGATGGCGCTGCCTTGCAGCTTAAGAATAGCTAGAAGGAATTTCGACGCGGTCCGTGAGGGCCGCGGTAGCATAATTGGTCAGTGCATTCGCCCGGATTGCGAAGGGTGCGGGTTCGAGTCCCGTCTGCTGCCCAGCCTATTTTTGTTGTATTTGGCCTTCGAAGGCGGATAGGCTAAAAATCATTGAAACACAATTATAGCATTTAAAATTATTCTATCTACTGTTTATTATTTTTATGGTAAATTAAACTTGAAAATGTAATTTCAAATTGAATTTAATTGAAATTCCTGTAAAATAATTTTAGCGTGTGTAATTTTACAATAATTTCGGTTTAATCGCTATTCTCAAAGGTTCGTTAGAACTGTAAGTGCGAGTGAGCACCTCATTATTAAAGAGTATTGCACCTCCTTGCAGCGAGAAATTGTGACTGTGACGTCGTATTAGTTTAGTCTTTTCTAGCCATCGCGCGTGTTAAGACTGCTCTCGACTACGTTATTTTCTCTCCCTTGAACTACTTACGCTGTGTTTCGGACCCTGATTTGCTTACGAACTACTTGTGCTTAAGATTTGGGCCTTGATTTTCTTAACGAACAACCTGTGCATGTTACTCAGTGATTTAGATTGTTCTTGTGCAGTACATTGAGTTATTCTCTAAGTCAGCTATACTCTAAGTGTGTTCCGCGGAACCCTAGGGTTCCGTGATACCTCTGTCGGGGTTCCGCAAGAATTTAGAAATAAAAAAATCAAAACACCTCTCTCTGGTCGCTCCGCGGCTGTGCGGACTCCGCGGCCGCGCGGAGACAAAACGCTATGAATGTTATTTATTTATTTATTTGTATTTGTATAAGCTTGTGTTACATTAGCTGGTACAATATCTCATAAGTTTGGTCTCAACAATTTTATACTTGTACAACGCGTTCGCTCTAAGTTTGCCGGTCTGTGGAATGCGCGTACCCTCCCCCACGTGACAACAAAACTTATAATGTGTCATAGTTTTACCCAAATATCTAACGTACACAATTTTTATTGTTACAATTAAATAAAAAATTTCGAACGTCATACACTCATACCTATCGCCAGCGGCAAACTTAAAACGAGCGGGTAGTATACTTGTAAGCGCTCAGTCTCTTTGATAAAAGCCGCCTCTGAATTAGACGCTATAGTTGTCAACTAGCGACTTTCGTCTCTAACTTCAAAGGATAAAGTCGATATTGTTTACAACGCTATTTTTAAATTTCTGTTTTTATTTTTGCTTTTTGTTTATCAAAGGTGCCGACTCGAGTATTTTCGAGAATATTTGAGATCGAGTCTAGGACTAAGTATAAAAGCGGCGATCGCGCGTTGGCGTCGTCAGTTGATGATTAGCGTTCGGAGCGATAAGTTACTACCTACTTACAAGCTCGCTAGCGAGAAACTGGTGTTCATTGTTTTACTGCCTGCTGTATTCTGTTGTCTCAGTTTTATACATTTCTTCCCTGTAGGTTCTAAATTTAGTCTCTTATACGCAGTAACGATTGTGCATTATTTAAACCCCACTATCCTGACTTGTAACATTATAAATAAAGAAGAATGGAACGTTGGCTTAAAGGTGTTAAACGTGTTCCAACAACATCTTCTAATGACGCTGAATGTTCAAAAGCAATGCGCGCGGAGAATTTAGCAATCACCGATCCAGAAGATGATGCCACGAGTGCCACGACGTCAAGCTCGACGGTTTCAAAGACGAAAAAAAGGAAGTATGATGAATCTTATATCAGTTTCGGATTTGTTGATTCCAACGGCTCACCTCTCTGCATGCTCTGTAGTAAACTGCTTCCTAATAGTTCCATGGCACCTGCCAAATTGCGTCGACATTTAGAAACCGTACACCCCGAGACTAAAGACAAGAATAAAGAATTTTTTGTTCGCAAAAAAGATCAGTTATTAGAAAGTCAAAAAAATATGATGCATGTAACACAAACTACCAACGAAAAGGCCACGGAGGCATCATACTTAGTTAGCTATCGCATTGCACAAGCAGGTGAAGCGCACACTATCGCTGAGAAATTAATAAAACCATGTGTATTAGACATAACAAAATGTATGCTTGATGAAAAATCTGCAAAGCATCTTTCTACTGTTCCGCTATCAAACGATACTGTTTCACGACGAATCCATGATCTGGCAAGCTACGTCAAACAAGAACTAGTTACACGTCTACAAAATACACGATTCGCTTTGCAAATGGACGAGTCGACTGATGTCGCTGGTTTGGCTATCCTGCTGGTTATTGTGAGATATCCATATAAAAGTTCTTTTGAAGAAGACATGCTTATGTGTTCATCGCTGCTTACAAACACTACCGGGGAAGAAATTTTTAATAAAATAAATATATTTTTTGAAGAACATAATCTCAGTTGGAACAATTGCATTGACATTTGTACAGATGGGGCCAAGGCGATGACAGGTAAAACAGCAGGAGCAGTGTCACGAATGAAAAATAAAGCGCCTAATTGTAGTTCCAGTCATTGTATTCTGCATAGACAAGCACTTGCGATGAAGCAAATGCCGTCTAATCTAAAATTAGTTATGGATGAAGCGGTAAAAATAATTAATTTTATCAAATCACGACCACTACAATCCCGATTGTTCTCATTATTGTGTGAAGATTATGGCAGCAAACATAAAACACTGCTGCTCCATACAGAAGTGCGATGGCTGTCTCGGGGAAAAACTTTAACAAGGCTATTTGAACTTAGAGCCGAGTTACAAATGTTTCTTTCAGCAGATACTTCTTTTAATTTGAAGGACCGTTTGTATGATAAAACTTGGTTGTTCCGATTGTCTTTTATGGCGGATATCTTTCAAAAACTTAACGAATTAAATTTATCATTGCAAGGTAAACAGACAACAGTGTTTCAGGCCTATAATAAAATAACTACTTTTAAAAGAAAATTAGATTTTTGGATCATTTGCATTGGTAAGAAAGAAATAGAAAGTTTTACGTTACTCACTGAGTTTGTTAGCGAAAACGACTCAGAAATGTTTGAAGATAATGTGTTTGAAGAATTGGTCCAATATCTCAGTTCGATGCGCGCATCTTTTGAAAAGTATTTTCCCGAAGAACACAATACAAAAATTAAAGTGAACTCCTGGATTCATAATCCTTTTTTACCCAACTTGGAAAAGCCTGAAAACATGTCAAATGAGATATATGAATCTCTTTTAGAAATGTCATCAGACACAAGTATGGAGTCATTGTTCAAAACGACGCCTCTTAATGATTTTTGGTGCAGAATCCAAGATGAATATGCAATGCTTGGCCAAATGGCTCTGGATATTCTTCTCCCGTTCCCAACTACATATTTGTGCGAAACAGGATTCTCTACCTACGCAGCCACGAAAACAAAATATCGCAATAGACTGGACGCCGAAGCTGATATGAGACTCCAACTTTCTTCCATCAAACCTGATATCAAGCAATTGATGAAAAATAAAAAACAGTTTCATACCTCCCACTAGTTAGATTTTTTCTTTTTTAATGTTTTCTATTATTGTCCTTACCAAGTGGTGAAGTAAATAATAATTAGTAACGGATACATTGTACTTTTATTATGCTGATTAATATAGAATACACTTATAAAAATAATTGTTTTATTGTAGGGTTCCATCAAGTATTTTGCTTCCCAAAAGGGTTCCGTCATTTAAAAAGTTTGAGAACCACTGCTCTAAGTCAATACGCAGAGATGCAATATTATTATAGCGTGGCCTAAGGCAACGTTAGTGAAGCTACGAGGCTTTATCGAGAGGCATTGGCGAGCCGAGGAGAAATAATGGAGCATTACCAGGACCACAGGGTTTTTATTAATACGCATAATACCCTGATGGCTGGACGTATCCCCGGGCGAAATCAATCTCGCGGAGTTGTACCCCAGGATGCGGATCAAGTGGAAGTAGTCTTGGAAGAAATTCAAACAGACTCGTCTACAAGGTCGAGAAAAATAACTAGGCGAACCGGGATTCCACAGACGGCGGTTTAAAGAATTCTTAAGGAAGGTGAGTGGTGAGCCATAAAAAGTTAGTACTTACATAAGCTTTTAATTGTGTTGTAAAACGGTAAGGTAAGAGTTTGATAAGGTTAATATAAGTAAGGTTTGATTTAATTTGTTTTTATGTAAGCATCGTCTAGATAGTAGAAAGCCTATCTGTAATCTAGGTGACTGTCTCTTTTTCCCAAACCCATTTTGTACAGACCGTGCTGTAACCAATTAACCTGCGTTGGGTTAATTGGTTACAGCGCGGTCTTACAACTTAACAATGATTTTGTTTGCAGAAAGGGACCAAGCGTACCACATTGAGCGCGTCCAGCAGCTCCAAGAATCTGATTCCGAGAAGAGTGGCTTTTTGTCAAACAATGTTGCAACGATCTGAAGAAGACCCTGATTTTTTTAACAAAATACTGTGGACCGATGAGTCTCGATTTGAAAGGACTGGAGTATTCAATATGCATAATTACCATAGCTGGGCCATAGAAAACCCACATTTGCCAAGGGCGTCAAATTTTCAAACACGCTTTAGTGTCAACCTTTGGTCTGGGGTCCTAAATGGAGAATTAATTGGCCCCTTTGAATTGCCGGCCAGGTTGAATGGAAACAATTACTTAAATTATTTACACAATAATCTCATTCGATTGTTAGAAGCAGTGTTGCCAACTACTAGCATTGCTCAGTTGCTAGACATCTTACAGAATGTTGCTAGATAGTCAGTTTTTATTACCCACCCCAAAAAGTTGCTAGAAGTAGCTAAATGTTACACTAGGTAAAAATTACAAGAAGGGATATCAACACTGACCGTAGACGCAAAAAATTGAGTTTGAGACCTTTATATTGCTAAGAAAAACTTGTAAACTAAAATTATCATACTATTTTTTCCTGTCGAAAAAGTCTGCTTTCAACAAAACGAGTTTTAAATTCACGTACCTGTTTTGAACTCTACTTTCTGTCTAAGTGTTTTTGTCCTAGCATGTTTCTTTATGTCAAATAGTTAAGCCAGAATTTCCGTAGAACAATTAGTACAAAACGCTTTGCTTGAGTCTCTACTTGCTGCTTTTGACGAACCTCAAGGGTAATCCATTTTCACGTTAAATTAAAACAGCGAGCATTAGTTTTATATGGATAAAATAAAAAAACACTGGGTAGAATACGTACGTACGAGTGGTGCGTACCATTTTGGTTTAGTAAATAAGTACCTATGTTCTGTCATAGCGCATTCTGTCGTAGCGCAACATTAAACGGGGAATTCCCGCCCAAGGACGACTTATACCATAGTATCCTTAAGCTTTGGCCATAGAGTCGCGTTCAGTTTTTATTTTTTCGTTAAAGATTTGGTATTCTATGAATCTCCCATGATGAAATGAAAAGTTGCTAGAAAAAATAGCTAAAAAGTTTAGCTACAAATTTTATTAAATTGTAGCTGTGTGACACCAAATAATAGCTAGATCTAGCTATAAAGTTGCTAAGTTGGCATCACTGGTTAGAAGATGTCAATCTCCAGAACCGACAAAGTATGATTTTCCAACAAGATGGCGCGCCTTGTCACTATGCGGCACGAATAAGAGAGCATTTGAACACCACATATCCCGAAAGATGCATCAGGCGTGCAGGGCCGATCAAATGGTCTGCGCGTTCGCCAGACCTCAACCCCATCGATTTTTTTATTTGGGGATTTTACAAAGAGCTAGTGTACGCGACGGAAAGCAACAGCGAACAAGAATTGAGACATAAAACTTACAGAAGCTTAAAGAAAAATAAAGCAAGAATATTCAAGTAGCTTCAGACAATTAAAACATAACTTTTTAAGACGTTGTCAATTGTGTATTCAGGTTGGGGGAAGGAGTTTTGAAAATTTACTGTAATAAATAGTATTTTTTCAGTAATTCGTGCTTTTTATTTGTTACCAAAAACAGTTCATTTCCCAACTAGCCATTTTGATTTTTATTCTTTGAGCAGGACTTTAAATTATTATAAAATTACACATGCTAAAGTTATTTTACAGGAATTGCAATGAAATTTAATTTGAAATTACATTTTCAAGTTTAATTTACCATTACAATGATAAAAAGTAGATAGAATAATTTATAATTATGCTTTAATCGTGTTTCAATAATTTTTAGCCTATCTGCCTTCGAAGGCCAATTACAACAAAAATAGGCTGGTTAAGTACTATTTTTTTTATGATTTTTGGTAGTTTAGAAGCGTGCGGAGTTTTTAAACTTAACCAGAAGCTATGGAAACTCCTTTTTGTATTTTTAAATTGAAGTTTAATGTTTGAGTAAATCCTACTAAAGACAAAAGTTCCAACTTTCAAGCCGTTTGAGTAACATTAAATAATTACAGGAAGCTGAGTTATTTTTTTTATAAAAACAACATTCAAGAACATTATGTCACAAAAAAAAACTGCAAAATACGTACTACGAAAAAAGATATGAATTTTTGAAACCTCGCTGGCAGAAATAATTAAAAATGCACAAAAAAAATATAACTCGAAAACTAAGAAAAATCGTGGAACATACATTTTCGGATACCCCCAGGTGTGAGGAATCTAAAAAAAAAAATGTTGACATCACTAGTTGGACCACCCTGTATATGATATGATAGTAATAAAATACCTAAATAAATACCTACCCTAAGTAGCTATTCTACACACACACACACACACTTTAAAGTTATGCATCTAAAGTTAATTTGTATAGATGCACCTTTATATCCTTTTGTGTGACACATAAACCTTTGTGTATCAAATATTGTAATATCTCTTTGTTTCTTTTGTGTGATGTACATGTATTTTTGATATTCACTCAGGTACCTAATGTCATTCAGCTTGTTAAGCACTAGATTGACACACCTAGAAGCCTGTAAATGCTAATACACTTTTGTGGATAGTCATATAAAAATATAGATCTTGTTGCAGTTACATCATTTCGATAAGATCTAATTTTTCGAGGCAAATTTTATAAGCCAGTTTTTTATATTTCTGTCTGATTAGCTCAAGATGCTGGAAGTATGCATAGATAGTCTGGAGTCCGCGTTGAATGCGATACACGGTGGAGCTGACGAACTCGAACTGTGTAGTTCCTTAGCTGAAGGCGGGTTAACGCCATCTGTGGGCTTGGTCAAGGAAGTCACGTCTGTGGTTTGTATATTCAATTACCTTCAGCAAAATTGTCTTTCTTACTGACTGTTGCGGCACAGTATTTTCTTGTATCGGTCTTAACCTTAATGAACGACCCAGTTCAGATTGATGGGTAGTTAAGTACTTACGAGGAGCTCGATGGCGCAGATGGTTAGCGCGTTCGGCTGCGATCGTTGTAGTTAAGCAACTTTCGCAGTGGTCGGTCATTGGATGGGTGACCAAAAATTTCTATCTCGAGTTCCTCCGTGCTTCGGAAGGCACGTTAAGCCGTTGGTCCCGGTTGCATCTGCAATCGTTAGCACCCGCCCATCCGCACTGGGCCCGCGTGGTGGGTCATGGCCCAATCTCCCTATTCCATCCATAGGGAAGGCCTGTGCCCCAGCAGTGGGGACATAAAGAGGCTGATAATGATGATGATAAGTACTTAAGAATGCTAAATCTTTCATCGGGACAAACAGCTAAAAGTGGGCTTTCGAAGCGAGCGTCAGTGAAGCCGCACAGAGCTTCAGATATTTCTTTTGCAAATAACATTATCAGTGCCGTTTTGACCGACGCTGACATTGACATTTGCATAGATATTCTATCTGACGCTCTATCGCGGTGTCGCTGACGCTCGCTACGAAAGCCCATCTTAAAGCTGGATTTATTTAGTGCTTGCACGACTGTTGGCGCTGATGGTACGTCCTCCTGTACTCTTAGCACGAACTAATGTCGAATTTGATCTTGATATGCGTCAAAGTCAAGAAGATTTGTATGGAAGATTTTTAATACTCATTTACGTCCGCTGTGGCGCTGTTCAAATTTCAATATGAATATTTTTGACATTTGACGCGTATCGCGATCGAATTTAACTATTCGAATTCGATATTGGTCCGTGCTAAGGGTACCTACTGTAGCCCTAGCACAAACCAATATCGAATTCGAATCGTTTGCGAGTCTGAAATGTCATTGTCAAATGTGTACTGATTTTTAGTTCTCGTTACGTACTTTGTGCCTCTGCTGTTCAAGTTTCCATACAAAATTTGACATGGATATTTCGGTTAGCAAACTATTTGAATTCGAAAATGGTTTGTGCTAGGGGTACTGACTAATTAGCACCAAACGACGATTCTTCAAATGTATGTAGTATTACGCTGACGACTATCTGAGACACGTATGGTCATTTTTTTTCTTCTCTTTATTTGTGGCATTTGTAGTATCGGAGTTCATTCACTCATTTGGCTGAATTTACGCCATCAATGGGCAATGTAAAGACATTTAGATTATTAGACACACTTATTAGTAGTAATATTTCATTCGGTCTATTAAAGACAATTTTAAATTAATTTTACTTTCAGGTAAGCAGAATCGGCACAGGCTCAACTATATATCAAACATGCCGAAAACATTGCGTTTGTCAGGCTTTAATGAAGGTTTGTGTATAATACTTACATACTGTATAATACTAATACTCAAGGTCTCTTGACTCTGCCATTTAGACGCCACTTGTTTTGTTTTTAATTGTTGTTAACCTAAACTTGAGGTGAAAATATATTGAGCAATCTTATATTTGTACAGTTTTAAATTAAATTGACACTAACAATACCATAAATTGCAACGAATCATTTAAAGACACATTGTTTTACAGAAACCGAAAATAAATGTGATGATCCGATGCCGCACAGGTTCCGATTTTTGCTATACATCACAAGAAATGGACACAATGCTAGCTGACGTGGATATTCTAAAACAAATGAAAGTCGACAGATTCGTTTTTGGCGCACTCACTGAGACACAAGACGTAGACGAAGCAAAATGCGCTATTATCGTAGCAATGGCAAAGCCGATACCTTTAACTTTTCACCGAGCATACGACGTTACCAAAGATCCAGTTGTTTCTATCAATAAAATTATTCAGCTCGGTTTCGGCAGACTCCTCACGAGCGGGCAAAGAAAATCTGCTGACAATGCCGAAGCCATAGAATTGATAAAGAGTTTGCAAGATTCGTTGGGCGATCAAATCGTCATTATGCCCGGTGCTGGCGTAAATTCAGAGAACGCTAAATTGTTCGTCGATTTGGGATGCAAAATTGTCCACAGCTCATGTAAGGCTATGAAGGTTTTACCTAAAATAGAAAATCATTTAAATATGGGCACAGGTGAAAGCGAGTGTTTTTATGTAACAGATGAAAATGTTGTAAAGAAAACGAAGCAAGCATTAGAACAGTAATCATAGACTGCAATATTTGTAAATCAATAAGTATATTTCGAGAATGAAATAATTGTATTCTTTGTTAACAATACTTACTTTTAAATACATTTTGAAATTAAATAAGTTAAGTTATTTAAAAGTTACGTAATAGTTTCACAATATGGAGTAAGCACCAAAATAAATCTTATATAAACATTGTTATCTCGTTTTATATATGAAAAGTTTACTTAGATTCCATGTCGTAATTCAAGAAAAACAAGAGCATAATATTGTGTGAGTTATTATTATCACATGACAATCAAAGTACCTATTTTCGTTGATGCAGTGTTTCATGAAGAAGTGCATTTTAAAATAAAATTAGCTTCATACAGAATCAAAGTGGGTAGCAATTAGAAGAAGCATGCGAGACAAATAATTTTCGTGGACTTATGCCAGTGACAGACTGCTTATCGAAGTAAATAGATACCTAGATATTAAGTAAAAGCTACCAACTGGAAGAAAACTGTGTAAGTAAAATTTTAAGTGACAAGATTCGATGGATAGTATGTTATGAATTACTTTAATAGCAAAGTATCTAATAAAATTAGACAAAGAGGAATCGTTTTAAAGCTCGTATTATAAGTTCGCTCTCAACTCTGGGAGCGATCTTGATTACCATCTTGAGATGCTGTTTTGTATGAAAACAGTATCTCAAGATCGTAGTCTCAGAGTTGGGAGAGACGCCTCTTTTATTATTTTTGTATAAAAAATCTCCGACGCCACCTAGGTTGACTGGAAGAGATCTCTTTTAGAGATAAACCCACCTTTGCTTACTATGTATTTGACTTTCTGTTTTGAACTATAATATTATATAATATACAATGACTGTATCTAAAAACATTTAAAGATGGGTTTATCTGTCTATAGCGATTCGCTCTAACAAATATATCTCTTTAACCGCCTTTGCACGTTAGCTTAGCGGAGGTCAATACCAACGTACAGAAAGCATCGTTCGTTGTCGCCTAATTTGCCCAGTGAACTACTAAATGAGGTCTATACACGTTGGCGCTCCTCCAACGTGTATAGACCTCATTTAGCGTCACTTGTCGGTACTCGCTGTCACTGTACAACATTCGTCCATAAGAACTGCAGCTTCATAGAGCTCGTATATATTGGTCACTTGCATTGGTCTTGAAATTTGCCCAACCTCCAGATTGTAGCACCTTGTATCAGTTTGCGTACGCTCGCGTTGGGCGAAGCTCGGCCAACATGTATTGGTGGCTTTATACCAATAACAGACTTATTTTAGAAACAAAGAAATAAGTCAATGTTAATATTACCAGAACGAATTGGCAAACTTCTTAATGGGCAAAACTACGGAACCAAGTTATTGTATTTACCATAACTTAGTATTGTGTTTCACATTAATGTCTACAGCTGAAGGCACCCATTTATCAGATTCCCGGAAAATACCAACTTTACTGCCCAATGTTGCCGATGCCATTACGTAGGAAAACAATATTAAATGTGGCATGGATGCCCCATCACTAGGTAATTTTAGTAAGTTGATAAGTATAGATTAAAAAAAAAAAGACACAATTTGGCGCGAAAATAAAAGGGATATGAAACATAAAAACACCTTCATGGATGAATCAGATTACCAAGGATTTACACTTAAAGATCCGATTTTTTACACGGCGATGAAATCGCCAACATTATCATAACCAAATGTTTTCAAATATTTTATTCAAATTTTAAGTTAGCCTCTCGTTTTATCTGCGGTGAACGGATTGCCACGCCGAAGCCGAAACGCGACAGTTTATAAAATATTAGACACCACAATTTGCCGGCTGCGACATGATTGATGACCACGGGACCTCCGCTGTCGTCTTTGACTCCTCAATCAATCATGCAACCGCCGTCATAAAACTCTTTGTGAGGTCAGGGGCAACGTTAGAGTTCCGTTCGTTTTTTACAAAAGATGTTTGCGTCGACTATTTTTAGGGTTCCTTAGAACTCAAACGGTGGCAATTACAGTACCCTTAAGTATGAACCAATATCGGATTCCAATAATTTAATTCGATCTCGATACGCGTCAAATGTTAAGATGTTTTGCACGGAAATTTTAATAGCGCCACAACGGACGGAACCAGAATTTAAAATCTTCCATTCAAAACTGCTTGACACTTGAAGCGTATCGAGATCCTATTCACCTATTCCAATTCGATATTGGTTCGTGCTAAATTAATAGGCCTTAATAAGTCGCGGTATGTTATGATGGCCGTTTTGACACACTGCAAATAGTGACGAGAAAAGTCGATGATTTAATCGAAAAATAACTAATATAGTTCGAGTCACAAAACTTTTTAAATTTTAACCAATATTGCAAGAAGTTGCTGATTATAAAGATTGAATAAAACAAAAACATAAATCTTTCACGGTCAAGTCTAAACATCAAAACGGCCATCATATCGTGCCGCTACTATACAGAAATAACTACAATTAGTCGCCAGACTATAAGTAATTTTGTGATGAAGATAAGGAAGCCATCGCTTCCACACCTCCTAGTCATCAAGAACATCTTTTCGTCTGAGTCTTTTATGTTGCTGTTTCGCTCCTGCACCAATGCTTTAGCAAGAGAAGTTGGATGAGCAAGAACTGGCTTTTTGGCGTTAATTCTTGGAGGTTAATTCTTAAGGACATTCACAAACCAATCACCAAATATAAAAGCTAATAGATTATGTGCGGAAAGAGAATGGGATTTAGATTGGAGGGCGCTGTAGTGCTTTTCTACCGTATTTGTAAGGATTTACACTTTTTAGACATGATTAAATACAAAAAACCACAAGAAATTACAACAACAAACAAATATACGGATTTGTTTGTTGTTGTGATTTCTTGCGGTTATGACCACACCACAATACAAAACTTTGACGTTTTACAGATTGCTGGGTTTGATTGCCAAATAAAAATCTTAATGTTAGTTCCGTTTTTCGCCACGCCCATTCTCTTTCCGCACAGACTATAAGTAGCTATTTGGTGATTGGCCGGACTGTGGGCGTTCTTCAAAGAAAAAAATATACATTGAGAATTCTCATTTCAGGGAAATGAAACGAGCAAAATTTTAATAGAACGATTTTTTTATTTATTAAGTGGATTCTGTGAATCTAACAATATGCTAGTTTACAATAAGATTTTTCCATAGTCTAAGGTACAAAATAAGGCTATCGTGAAATGTGAATACGCTTAATTAAGGCAGTTTTTGATTACCGTGTTGTGCTTTAACCCTAATAATATTTACATTGACCTTAATAAGTATATAGATACCTACCATTTTTAGATTTTAAGATAGAATTGGTCAAATTGCATTATTACTAGTGAATCAATTAAAAAGCGTAATTTACTCTTTTCACTTAAAATCACGACAATCGATGCCATATCGATATTCATTTTTCATTTTAGTAAGTATTTAATATTTAAAATTCGACAGCTTTAGTAAGTCATTCATTTATTTTTTTAAAATAATCTTAAGTTCGCCGCCATCGATATTCTACCCTTTTTACAATAAAATAAGACTCGAACACGAATATTATATACCTAATCAATAGACAAAGCGTATTCTTTAATGTTGACAGAAGCGATAGTATGACCAACTTACATCTAAATTATTCAAGTAAATTTCTACGAGAATAGGTGTGTAAATATCGATAAATCGAATAACTAAGCCATTCGTTGACGCGCCACTTAAAAATAGTACCAATAAATATGTAATTACTTTTAAGTGTACATTTTACCTATCGATAAAATTGACTTTTATTACGAATCACATGCCTAAAGTTTGTCGATGGTGACTGTTATTTTTAACTGTTAATCGTTTTATCGACAAATGTCAATTCCTCTTCAGTTGTAGGCTCACATGGTATGATTATTTAGAAAGATCGCAATTGACCCCAAACTTTTCTTTAAAAAAAACAAACATTACCTATCGTTTAAGAAACACAATGAAATATTCTGCCGCCCTTGAAAGAAAAAGCCATAAAAATATACGAAAGATAATAAAAAAGGGCTCGATGTAAATAAGGTTCCTTGTGATAAGGTGTCGTTCCTTTGTTGTTCTTGTTATTATTGCTGTAATAAACAAGACGAAGGAGTGAACTCTGCCTTTCATTATTCTAATTTCATTACTCATTTGTAAGGAAATCCGTAACACATACCTACTTGATCACTTCGAATAAAGTTATTGATATGAGAGATTTTATATATTCCATTCTTTGGTAGTTTTATTTATTTTATCGAATTTCGTTTCCTAATCATTGAAAAACATGAGTCTTTATAAAAACATAAAAAACGACAAATTATTTCCAATCTCATAATACAAACTTACTTCTATTAAGTACTTTACCTTATTGATAACAACTAAAGTAACAAAATATTACCCAATAAGAAAATATTTACAAGTCTACTGGCTATTAATAAAAATAAGTCTTAAACTATAACAGAATGTCTGTTAGTCTTTTTGTCTGGTATGTAAGGTTCTAGTTTAGCTGGCTCGGTGTTTAGTGCGCTGTAGTCTACTGGGAATGGAGGTTGGGGTAAAGAGTCTTTTGGTGGTACGAGGACCCACTGTCCTGGACCATTAGGGTTCTTGCCCATCAGCCAATTGGTGAAGCAGTGCACGTACGTTCCGTAGTCCAGGATTAGGTAGCCATTCTGCGGAAGAAGAGGAAATAATGATACTTATAACAGTCATGAATGGAATGCTTATCAAGAAAAAAGCTTGCTTATAATCTATCTGAGATTATCACAAACTTTTCTAAATCGTATGATAGAAAGTTAGCTAGAATGAGCGAGAGGTACGTTACGGTAGCGTAAAAGTCTGCGATTTCTTCCAACTTCAGAGGCAAACTGCAATCTACGGCTTATATGAATCAGGTCCAAATGCTATGATTTAGATATGTCAAAGATTTTCATAGTAACCAGACTTGCTTCGTTTCAAACCCAGTGACTAGGCGCGATCTGGCCGGTGAGAAACTGTGCCGAGGGATCCGTGCATTACAGAACAGCATTGAAACTATGTAAGTTAGAGTATAATAGACACGATGATCACGATATTATGATTTGATCCACTTAAATCCATTAGTAAAGATCCATTGGTGGAATTTGTGCTTTTACTTCCACTTTAATACTTGATCCAGGATTTTTTGCAAAGTGGATT